TAGACTAAAACGCACGTTCATCATGTGAAGTAACCTTAAAACCACTTTAACACCATACAGTTCCCATTATCCATCAAAACATTACAACATCACGGATCAGTTTTGCCAATTTCAACAACTACAGTAGATTTTCCAAACTTTCTCACGACGTAAATAGGAAGAAATTATGTCTGTTGTTAGCAGTGACACTATATTTTATGAACCTACACGGCCTTATACAAATAATGAAGCCGCGTTCATTTATCTAGCCGTGTTTTTCCACTTTCGGCCGCGATAACACGGCCAACACGGCCCTCTAGCTAAGACCCTGGCTGAAAGTATCCCCATGAGGCTACTGATATACTAAACTTGTTTAAAACTATCAGCGCCCATATTGCACATTTAACTATTGTCTCAGTGACACTCTAATTGAAATAGCTGTATAACTAGAGTGTGTCCCAAAAAAGTACCCTCTATAGAAAGTATCTATCCTATTGTTATAAGGGTACTTTTTTGGGGACACGCTGTAGTTAATATGACGTTGCAACCCATTACAAAAAATATAAATCCAAAACACAGACACATAAAAATGAGGCGAAAAAACTCATTTAAATGACGCATTTTATTCCCATATCCGTTCCGCACCCGCTCCATGGATCCGCTAGGTTCCGCATCCGCATTTTAACTTAATTGTGACATGTTTCTCAATAACAAGTCTCAATGACCTTTGACTTTATATTCCCAAGGCCAAGATCAGGTTCTTTTTTATACGAATCATTTTCAGCTTTTCGCAAGTATTCAATAATGTCACTTTAGATGTCAATAATTTCACAGTTACAGCAGAGTTTACAGCAGTTTTGATAAAGCTTTGATACAGATAGATTCTCGTAAGATCTGGTGATGTTCTCGTTGCATTTGAATATTGCATTGTGCCATTGAACATAGCATGGTCACGTCATCGTAGGTCATCTACGGTTTGATAGCGCATGCGCATTTGCGCTGCTAAAGAAAAAATCGAGTGTTCCGGGGTAAAGATCTTTTACACAACATGAGAAGCGAATGTTATAAAATTTACAAAAAATTACAATAACGACAACCACTCCTCAAAATTTTGTGAACTTGGCAAAAGGACAAAAGAATATTTAAATAAGACAACTGAAATTGCCTAAATAACCTTCAAAGCACTGACTAAGTACAATAAATCACTACGAACATATATCGTATACACCCCCCGGAAAGTTTACACTATTATGCCTGATCCCCGACTCATATGAATTTTCCCCACTCATCACAATACTTGTCAAGTTTCGAAGAAACTTGACACTAAAAAGCTTAGCCCTCCCTCTCAGAGTACGATTTGTACATAAACGACAAGTTTGTAGAAGCTAAAATGTTTGAAATGCATGTCGAATTGAATATGCCTAAAATGAGTCGGCATTTGGCTCTGTACGGACAAATTTTTCAACAAAATTTTAACTAAATTTGACAGGGAGTGTTCATAAAGCTATAAGGGCTTTACTAGAAGACGTTCTAGGCGTATAAAGGAAGCTTAAAAATGAAAAACAGAAGAAACGCCTTTAATGGACATTATGCTTACCAAGTACTTTGCCCTTTCGACCATGTCGGCGACTCAAATAGTTCACTTTCTCTTCAAATTTTCGCCCTGAAATCGCAGATAAACTAAATAGGAGTTAAATAAATCAAAGCTGGGGTATTTCTGAACATTACTGCTAGAAAACGAGGGAGAAACACCAAGGAATAGAGCGACTAAGCGCCGAAACGAAGCGCTTGAATGGAATCGAATTCAATACATACTAATACAGTGAATAATATAATATATATACACACGTGTTTAAAAAACAGCAATAACTTAACAAGAACAACTCAAAAACGTTTAAAAAATAGCTAAATTTAATACTGACCTTTCCCTCTGCATGGCATACCGATTTTATTTCCAAAACGTTTCATAAAAGCGACGTTTTGTTGCAGTAACTTCTACAATTGTGTACTCTCTAAACTTGGAAGCATCGAGCAGAAATATTCATATTTGCCACGAATGCGTAAACCACACCATTGTTTGCTATCGTCAATTTTTTACGAGCTCTGATTGGTTTAGCTTGCAAAAACTTTTCTATCATTGGCTACTGCTAAACGCATGCATTGGTCTGAATTCCCTTGGGGCTTCGAATGCTTAATAATTGAATATGCGGGAATCGGGCAACGACAAAAGCCAGAATCATTAAGTTCCGGAATGGAAAATGCCGGAATCTTTAAAATCCCGAACAGAAAAAGGAGGAATCTTTAAAATTCGGAACGTGAAAAGCCAACTATATTTAAAAACCCGGAAAAGAAAAGCCCGGACTCTTTCAAATGCAGAACAGAAAAACCCAAATCTTTAAAACCTGGAAGGAAAAACCCCCGAATCTTTAAATTTGGTATCGAAAACCCCCCGAATCTTTAAACTCTGAATCGAAAAAATCCCGAATCTTTAGACTTGGAATCGAAAACCCCCCGAATCTTTAAATTTGGAATCGAAAAACCCCCGAATCTTTAACCTTGGAATCGAAAACCCCCCGAATCTTTAAACTCTGAATCGAAATCGTCGAATTGCCATCGTCGAATTGCCAGTAGAATTTTTGATAAACCAGTACATACAGTACAGCGATGTAGCGAAATTTCGGGCCGTCTTCCACAACAAATAACATCACAAATATAAGTCAACAACTGCACGTATTTTTCTCTTCACTAAAGAATCCCTATTGAGTTATAATTTCCAAAACTAACCAGTCGCTATAACGTAAAACAAGTGTGTATTTGTGAACAAAAATGCCCTTTGACGACACGAAGTAAACCGGCGCCATCTTGTCTTCTCTAAACATTACAAATTTTCCCGCCAAAAACTGTGTGGTGAAGGCGAAGTCCCGTATGAAACTGACGTCACAGGTATCATGCGCAGAGGGAGCTACCGTAAAATATTTTAAAAATACGCAATAAATCGAATTTTAAATATCTATTTACCTTCGCTATTTTCACATATTGTTCGATCCAACCACGATTGTAACACAACAAGTTTTCCTCGCTAAACATTTTACAGTAAAATCAACAAAACATCGGGAAAATCCGAAGTTGTCTGAGCTGTATACGGCACTGGGGCACTGGATGAAGGTAATGGTGCAGCGCTCTAAAGCCCTGGGCAAACTAGGGGCGGACCATTAAAAAAGTGATGGGGGGGGGAAACAAAAATAAAATTCGAGCAGGGAAAATAGAAAGAAAAAAAATTCGTGCACCAGAAATGTCTGAAAAAAAAATTCGTGCAGAGACTTTTCATTAGAGAAAATTACAGGACCTATCGGAGGTACAGTGTAAGGGTGTTCCCTGAAATTTCGAAAATAAGCTTTTTCAACGTGTTTTAAGACGTTTTTCGGGGAAAATGTGTTTTAAACCTAATTGAATTGATCTTAGTCCGAAAAAATTTTTTTTGACCCTATTTCTCTTTGTCCTGCAAAAATTTTTGAGTCCGGAAAAAAATTTTCACCTACCCCTCCCCCCCCTCGCCAGCAATGTTTGGAAAAAAGGAGCAAAAAAATTTGAGCAAGGGATTATTTAAAAAAAAAATAACCGACACAGCAAAACATTTTGAAAAAAAATCGTGCACGTTGAAAATGGACCCCCCATCACTTTTCTAATGGTCCGCCCCCTAGGAAACATTGTTGCGAAAACATTGTTTCCTACCAATGTTTCGCCATGTTTCCAAGAGTGGGCAAACACTAGGAAACATTAGTGAGAAACATAGGGAAACATCAAGTGTTTCTGAATTCGCTAGGAAACATTTTTGCTTCTCGGGAAGCAAATTTTGTTTCCGCAACAATGTTTCCACGGGTGGGCAAACAGAGAGACATCTGAGGAAACAACGAGAATCACAAATGTTTCCACAACAATGTTTCCTAGTTTGCCCCAAGAGTTTGCCCATGGCTTAACCAACTGAGCTACAGAATCCAGTTGTCGAGCTCTAACCACTAGTTCATGTGTAGCTATATACAGCTAATTCAGAAAAGGTTGTCGTTCGAAAATCTCAAACCTTAAACTCTAAGCGCGCAATAAGTGATGGGTAACATCTTTTTAGGGCTTTTGATTGGGCAAATAATCCCAGTACATTGCTAGTTGTACATCTCAAGTGTTTATTAGGGCCATTTATACGGGACAAAATAAGTCGCGTCTTACATAAGACGCGTCTTATATAAGCTGAGTTATCGCATAAATGGTTCTCTACGGCTTTATTCTTATTTATTTGCTATAGCTATAATGTTGTTTCGGTTGTTTTTGTTTTAATATGCAAGGCTAATAATTTTACGTTGTTTCAAGTTTCGGGCTTGTGTAGTTACAATTTTTGTCTAAAATTTCTTATTTAAGACGCGACTCAAATAAGAACAGCTAAAAGTCCTGGGGCCGGTTGTATAAAAAAGTGATTAAAGTTAATCATAGTTAAGTGGAAATGTCATCCAATAAGAAGCGCCTATGTGAGAGTTAATCACTATTTAACTACAAAATAGTGATTTAAAAAGTGATTAAGAGTTTTATACAACCGGCCCCTGTTCTTATGTAAGACGCGTCTTATCCAAGACGCGTCTTACATAAGAATTTTGTACCTTTTATACGACAAACTCGCGTCTTATTTAAGTCGCGTCTTATGTAAGTCGCGTCTTATTTTGTCCCGTATAAATGGCTCTATTATCTGTCTTGCTATAGTAGCTACAATGCGATGCCGAAAAATGCCTCTAGCTTTATGCCTTTAGGTAGGCATCAACGAGTTTGTTAAAACTTAAAAAGTTTATACTCTGTGATGAAAACTTTTCGATTCAAAACCGACCCGATACGTTATTACAACTTGCTGAAAAACTCCAGGATATGAGCGAGATTTCTTCCATTAAGAAGTTCTGTTCTGTTAATCTGTTTTATTTTCTGGAGCAGTCTGTTCCACCATGATCTATTTCTCTCGTTAAAAATGCCATTCAGTTTAAATTTTGAAAGATAAATTGCTATAATAAGAGCCATTAATCATGAAATCGCCTTCATCTTTGGTCATTTTCCCGAAGCAAGTATAAAAACTCATATATATCTCTAACTTATAATTGCCATTCAATTTTTTAAAGGTAAACTATGAAATGCTAATAAGACCCGTTAATCATAACAGAAAAATTGTCTTCGTCTTTGGCGATATATTTTTCCGGATCTTGCAACGAAACGGAATTCTCGTCTCCAATCTTGCTATCATTCCCAATAACTTTGTCTTCTTCCGAAATTTTAACAACATTCTTTTGGTTACCAGAGCAGCGTTCTTCCTTCGACCCTTCATCCAATTTCTTTCCAAGTCCCTCGGACATTTTCGCTTTTACAACGCCACGGAAAAACGTACACTTTCCCAAAAAAATCTCAAGAAAAATCTCCGCGCCGGCTTCCCCTATATTAAACTTGTAATATATAGCTTGTTTGCTTGAAAAACGTCGTTTGTACACCAGCTGTATTTAAAATACGACTAATCAAGTTTTGTGGTGAGCGCGATGACGGGTACCGGCTAGTGACGTCATAATTGCTGCCAAGCGCAGCGAACTTTCTCCAGGGCTTCCTCAATCTCGTATCCAGAGCAATGCCTGTGCCAATGCCTCCCTCGCCCGCGCACAGGCATTGTTCTGGGTACGAGATTGGGGCTTTCTTCAAAAGCTGGTTAGCTTAATTCATAGCCTATCGAAGGGAAGATGATTTGGAGACTCATTAGAATAACAATATAACTCATTATCTATGTTAGTCAACGTTTATGCATAAATCTGGTCCTTTCACTGTCACGTGTCTATTGTATTTTTACCAAATCCACCAATAGCAATTTCCAGTTTCCCTAAATCTAGTGTTCGAGTCACGGATAGGTGACTTTCCTAAAACATTGCAATTGGTTAGTTGGGCAAAAATACAATACACACGTGACGGTGAAGGACCAGATTTATGAAAAAACGTTGACCAACATATGTAATGAGTTATATTGTTATTGTAATGAGTTTCACAGTCATCTCCCTTCGATAGGCTATTATCTATCAGAGTTCACTCGGCCCAGTCTTTCGCGCGATCTATGTATTGTCATAGATTAAGTAAGAACAGATGTGTAACTTCAGTAAAAAAGTTGTCCCATGGTCGCCATCTTCCTAGCAAGTGTCGCTCGCGTGATTATTCGTCATTTGGTAGTACGTCATTGCCTTCAAAAATGTTTTCAACACCTTTTCTACAACTTTAATTGCTTTTAACAACTTTAAACATTCAACAAATGAGGCTCTTGATTGTTTAATCTGTAAATTTCGATCCAAGAAAGGCGCAATAAAATGCAAAAGTTCATGTTTTCCAGGACGCCATCTTCCTAGCAAGTGTCATGGCGTGAGCATGACGTGTACATCTAGGGAAATTTGAGGATACGAAGTCCTATTAAGTTACACATCTGGTATATACTTCATCTGTGGTATTGTCGAGATCTCGAACTCAAAAATTAATCTTAAAAATTAAAAGTATGTACACAAACCAACACACCACAAATAGAACTTGCATTCACACAAAATAGATTTTTCTCTAAATCAAGCATAATGAATGTGGCGTATTAAGCGATTTCAATGATACTTTAACCTTACAATACTATATACAATTGATAGTTCTATAAAAATACGTTCTAAGCATATTGTAACCCTGAAAAATAATATGCAGCATGCTAGCACATGTTGGAGTCAAGAGTATAATTATTTAAAATTGCAAAGTGCGCTTTTTTCAAAAGCGTACAACTCAAGGTGTGAATTGTTGATCGATAATGTTCATCAACAACATGCTATGTAAGCTTATGTACTACTGCGGATTTCGATTTACCGTTTCAGCGCTTTAATTTCCGGTAATTGTTTTCCCGTTGAAACATACACGTTTCTAACGGTCAATGTCAATGTTACTAAGTGAAGTCTAGTGGTCTTTGTCCGTTGTTTTCTTGTCCGTTGTTTATCATTTGTAAATGTAACGGTTATATTCGTGTTTATCTCGTCTTTGGCGACATTTTGATATATAATTTACAAAGTTTTGTGGATCATTTCATGTTTTTATTGATATTTTGGAAATTGTAGCGTATAAAAGGCTTCAAAATAATTTACTGGCCTTTTATACGCTACAATTTCCAAAATATCAATAAAAACATGAAATGATCCACAAAGCTTCGTAAATTATATATCAAAATGTTGCCAATGACGAAATAAATACGAATATAACAGTTACATTCACAAATGATAAACAACGGATAAGAAAACAACGGACAAAGACCACTAGACTTCACTTAGTAACTGTCACAAATCTTTAGTTTCAATTGAAAACTAACGCTAGGGGGAGCTGTGTAGCTCTGCAGGGGGGAAGGACATTTTGATTGGGGAAGAACCAAGATGGCTGACTTAACATAAAAGTTTATATTTTTCCGTTATTTATTAAAATTTATAAAAGTACGTCGTAGAGTAGTAGTCCTGTAATGTGACCAAGACCGGTTTCTCAAGAATTCCGTGACATCTGGGGGCTCAGGCGGGAAACCGGTCAATTGGCGAAAGTTTTTGGGTGGAAATTGTATTGTTTATTTCAAAACGAAAGTAAACTGTCGACCCGTATTCGTGGACAATTTATACGCCGGAGAGTAATTGGGAAATATGATTTGTTCCTTGTAAACATTTTCTTATTGTGGACAAGTATAATTTGCCAGAGGGCAACCTTAATCGTTGGTTTTAAAGAGATTTTGGATTTATCGTGTATATTAACATAGAATCGTGGACAAATATTTGCCAGTGGGCAACATTGATCGTTGGTTTGGAAGGTGTTTAATCATATTTTGGGCCTTATCGTGGATAATAACATAGAATTGTGGATAAATATTGGCCAGTGGGCAACATTGATCATTGGTTTGGAAGGTATTTGGTCGTATTTTTGCTTTATCTTGGATAATAACATAGAATTGTGGATAAATATTTGCCAGAGGGCAACATTGTTTGTTGGTTTGGAAGGTATTTAATCATATTGTACGTGGCTTTATTGTGGATATTGTAGTATCGCCGACAATTATTGGTCAGAGGACAACTTGATCTGTGTGTGTTGAAAAGACTGTGTATTTTGACATTTAAAATTGAGCATGGAAAAGCTTATTGCACTGGGCAAAGAGTTTGGCTTTGAAGGCAAAGAGCTATTGGCTTTTGTGAAAGAACAACAAGACGAAGAGAAACGGCGAGTCGATGAAGAGAGAGAGGAGAGACAGCGAGAACGTGAGAGCAAAAAGTTAGAGGCTGAGGAAAGAGAACGTATACGGCTACGAGAACTGGACGAAAAGGAAAAGGAACGAGAAATGGGAGAAAGAGAAAAAGAAGCTCAGAGGAGACACGAACTAGCAATGAAAGAACTGGAATTACAGAGCGCGAATGTCGAGGTAAATAGTGCTAGTATTAAATCGGCTGCTAAGTTACCTAAACTACCAACGTTTGTTGATGGTAAAGATGACTTGGACAGTTATCTGCAAAGATTCGAACGGTTCGCTAAGAACAATAATTGGGACCAATCAACATGGTCGACTTCGCTTAGTGCATTGCTTACTGGTAGAGCTTTAGATGTTTATTCCAGACTATCAGAGACAGCCGCAGTTGATTACAAGCAGCTGAAAGAAGCCCTTTTGAAAAGGTATGAACTTACTGAAAGTGGTTTTAGGATGAGATTCAGGGAGGGAAAGCCAGAGGATGGGGAAAGCCCAGAACAGTTTGTGACGAGATTAAATAGATATCTCACCAGGTGGGTTGAGTTGTCTAAAACTGAGAAGACCTACGAAGGAATTCGTGATTTGTTCATCAAAGAGCAGTTTATACATTCCTGTCCAGAAGATCTAGCAATTTATTTAAGAGAGAGGAACCTTGAGAATTTGGAGGAACTGACTAAAACAGCTGAGCAATTTCTTGTTGCTCACGAGAAAAAACTATCCAGTTCGTCAAAACCTCACAACAAATCGAAGGTGTTGTCGAAGGGAATGAGTTCGCCTGATAGCAGTAAGGAAAGCACCCATGAGAAGAGAATTCAGTGTTTTAATTGCAAGGGATATGGTCATAAAGCTAGTGAATGCCGCAAGCCTGCAAGACAAGAGCTTAGGGCTGAGAAACGATGTTTCCTGTGTGACCGCAGTGGACATTATGCCAGAGATTGTAAGGTTGCTGGGAGTAAGAACGGTCCCTTTAAAGCAGGTGCTGCTCAACACGATAGTAGTGCGTTTAGTGGTGTCGGGCCCGAGCTTGAGTCCTGTATCCAGAATAATGAATTGTTATTGGCTAACGGTACAAAGTTACCCATTGTGAAGAGTGGTGGATCTGTGACAGAGAGCCTGGGGAAGAACAAAATGCCTGTTGTTAAAGGGCTGGTTGGCAATACCGCGGTAGATACCCTAAGGGATACAGGGTGCAGCGGAGTGGTAGTTCGAAAGCAGTTCGTGAAGGAAGACCAGTATACCGGCAAGTACTGTTATATACTCCTTATTGATAACACTGTTCGACAAGTCCCGATAGTTAAGATCCAAGTTGATACCCCCTATTTGAAGGGAGAAGTGGAAGCACAGTGTTTACCTGATGCACTGTATGATCTCATTATTGGTAATGTAAAGGGCGCCAGGGCCCCGGATGACCCTGACCCCGAGTGGCATGAAACTTGTGCTGTAACCACTAGGTCTCAAGCAAAGCGAAGTGATAAACTTAAACCCCTAAAGACCCCAGAAGTTTCGAATGGACTGTCAGTTGGTAAGGAAGACCTTCGCAAAATGCAGGAGGAAGACCCCACACTAGAGAAATACCGAAACGTGACTGACACTAAGACAAAGGGTGACCAAGAGATAACCTTTAAAATTAAGGGCGGAGTTTTGTATCGGTCTTACAAGAGTTCCAAAGGGAAAACCCTCCAACAAGTAATGGTTCCGCAACCCCTCCGTGAAAGAGTAATGGGTGTCGCACATAGTTCGATTATGGGTGGACATATGGGTATCCAAAAAACCACTGATAAAATTACAAGTAACTTTTATTGGCCTGGAATCCATGGTGACGTCACTCGATTTTGTCGTTCTTGTGACATTTGCCAAAAAACCATACAGAAAGGGAAAGTCCCTAAAGTGCCTCTACAAATGATGCCATTAATTGACATACCCTTCAAGAGAGTAGCAGTAGATCTGGTCGGACCCATCTACCCACCCAGTGAGCAAGGACATCGTTATATCCTTACTCTTGTTGATTATACCACCCGTTACCCGGATGCAGTTCCCTTGAAATCAATTAGTACGGAAGCAGTTGCTGAAGCCTTGGTAGATATGTACAGTAGACTCGGTGTTCCAGAGGAAGTTCTTAGCGACTTAGGAACTCAATTTGTATCTGAGTGTATGCAGGAAGTGTCGAGATTGCTAAGTATCAAGCAACTGTCAACTACGCCTTACCACCCGATGTGCAACGGTCTTGTTGAGAAGTTCAATGGCAGTCTGAAGAATATGTTGAAGAAGTTATGTAGCGAGCAACCAAAGCAGTGGCCCCGTTATATCAATGCCCTGTTATTCGCCTATCGAGAAGTGCCACAAGGATCCACTGGATTCTCCCCATTTGAACTGTTATACGGCCGCACCGTACGAGGTCCAATGATGATTTTGAAGCAGCTGTGGACCCGTGAAGTAGAAGATCCAGAAGTGAAGACCAGCTACGAATACGTGTTCGATCTTCGAGAGAGACTAGAAGAGACCGTGAAGCTGGCACAAGATGAACTGAAGAAGTCTCAAGTAAGATATCAGCGTTATTACAATCGAAAGGCTAAGTCACGAAGCCTCAAAATTGGGAGCAAAGTTTTACTTCTATTGCCGACTGACAAGAATAAACTCTTGTTGCAGTGGAAAGGTCCTTTCGTCGTAGAGTCGATTGTCGGAGTCAATGATTACGGGATCAAGGTTGGTGATAAAGTAAAAACATTTCACGCGAACATGTTGAAGGAATACGTCGAGAGACAAACCACGCAAGTCAAAGAGCGGGAAGAAGCGTCGCCAAAGAAATGTGATCGCGAGATTGAAGGCAGTTCAGTCCTTCACGTTGCTGCGGCGGCTGTGATTGAGCAAAGCGAAAGTGGTCCAGAAGGAGCCGTCGACGATGAGAGCCTGTTAGAGCTTGGTACCATGCAACCCAAAGAGACTGTCAGGGATGTGACATTCGGTCAACAGCTGAACGACGAACAGAAGGTTCAACTACAAGAAGTAGTCAAACAGTACGAACATATCTTTACTGATGTGCCCGGTAACGCTAATATTATTGAGCATGAAGTTAAACTTACATCAGACGAGCCCATCCGGTCGAAGCCGTATACGATTCCTTATAACGTTAGAGAGTCATTAAAGAAAGATGTTCGAGATATGATTAAGATGGGTGTTATCCGAGAATCTAAATCACCTTATGCCTCACCAGTGGTAATTGTACGGAAGAAAGATGGCACTAACAGAGTTTGCGTCGACTTCCGAAAGTTGAATCGTGTTACCGTGTTTGATCCAACACCGATGCCTACGGCAGAAGAGATATTCCAGAAAATGTCGAAAGCGAAATATCTTACCAAATTGGATCTGAGCAAGGGCTATTGGCAAATCCCAGTAGCCACTGGGGATATTCCTAAAACAGCGTTCGTGACCCCCGACGGTTCGTATGAATTTGTCAGAATGCCTTTCGGGATGATGAATTCTGGCGCGACTCTGGTGCGAGGTATTAGGAAGTTGTTGGATGATCTCGATGAAGCTGACAGTTACATCGATGACATTATTATCTACACGGAGACGTGGGAACAACATCTCGTCGTGCTTGACGAAGTGTTCAGTAGACTTGCCAGCGCGGGTTTCACGGCGAGACCGACGAAATGTGTCCTAGGAGCTGAATGTATCGAAGTGGTCGGTCACCGAATATCTGATGGAGTCAAAGGGCTCCACGAAGACAACGTGAAGAAGATTAGAGATGCGAAGCGACCGAGAACGAAGAAAGAAGTTAAAGCATTTCTTGGCCTTACTGGTTATTACAGAGAGTTCATCCCAAATTACGCGGCGAAGGCGGTTCCGTTGTCAGACCTGACTAAGAAGGGACAACCAAACCAAGTCGTATGGTCCGATGCACAAGAAAAGGCCTACAGCGCACTGAAAACAGAGCTTACGAGTTCGCCGATCCTCCGACTGCCTGATAACACGAAACCATTTACACTGAGAACTGATGCATCTGACACAGGACTCGGAGCGGTATTATTGCAGGAGCATGATGGTAAACTTTCGCCAGTTAGTTATGCTAGCAGGAAACTAACGGAAAGCGAGAAGAAGTACAGTACGATCGAGAGAGTGTCTCGCGGTAGTTTGGGCCGTCCGAAAGTTCTTGATATTCCTTTATGGAACAGAGTTTACATTGCAAACCGACCATCAGCCTTTGGTCTATTTGAAGACAGCGAAGTTTCTCAACGACAGAGTTATGAGATGGGCGATGTTCTTGCAAAACTATGGTATTAAGATTGAATCTATTAAAGGAGTCGACAACGTGGGTGCCGACTACCTCAGTAGAGTTCTGATACTCATTAGAGACTTGTTATAAACTTGATATACATTCAAGAGACGGTGTTTGATACTCATTGGAAAAGATTTGCGTTTTGTTATGAAATTTTGTAAATTTCTCAAAAAAGGGAGTCATGTCACAAATCTTTAGTCTCAATTGAAAAACTAACGCTAGGGGGAGCTGTGTAGCTCTGCAGGGGGGAAGGACACTTTGATTGGGGAAGAACCAAGATGGCTGACTTAACATAAAAGTTTATATTTTTCCGTTATTTATTAAAATTTATAAAAGTACGTCGTAGAGTAGTAGTCCTGTAATGTGACCAAGACCGGTTTCTCAAGAATTCCGTGACAGTAACATTGACATTGACCCTTAGCAACTTGTTCGTTTTAACGGAAAAACAATCACTGGAAACGGAAGCCCTGAAACTGTAAGTATTTAAAACACAAGCAGAAGTGCTTTATCTGATATAGTAGCTCAAGTTTTTTATATCTGAAGCACGGACTGCGAATGTTTTAAATGGCTTGAAAAACGACCGATCTGATGAGTTCATTGGCAAGTGATTTTAAAACTAAACGTTGTCTAAGTCTAAAGGCCATGTTACACGGTGCAATTTTTCTTGCAACTTGCAATGCAATTCTACTCTTGAGAGATGCGAATTAGTGAAATCAGTGAAGAATTTTCGATATGTTGAGAAAACATCAGCGGAGTGTAACGAAGACTCGTATTTGGCAATTTTACATCTCTCAAAAGTAGAATTGCATTGCAAGTTGCAAGAAAAATTGCACCGTGTAACATGGCCTTAAGCCGAGAAAATCAAAGCTAAAGTTTAAGTAAATGAACATGATTTTTTATCACATATAAAACCACCGATACGCCAGTGATTTCTTTTAATGATAGTTACGCATGCCTTGCAAATTACGTGCCTTGCGAATATATATAGGAATGGCTTTGCCATCGAAAAGTCATCTCAAAATTATTTTTGCTTGTAGCAAAATTATTGTCAAGATATAAAAGCTTATAAATATATCGTATAAAACTATTCTAAATATATATATTCTTTATCGCTTAAAATACATTTGTGCATCAGGAAGGGTTATGCATTTTACCTTTTCCCGAAAACTATATCTATTTGTGCATTGTAAAGTGGGTCAAAAATCATTGCAAAATTTTGACCAATGAGATTGAGGCGTGTTTTGGCGGGAAAGCATGACGTGTGCCATGTATCCCATGTTACCTTGCGTACGGAAAAGAAACCACAGGGAGCCTTGAGGAGTTCTTCAACATCGTTCTTAGCGCCCCAAGGTGTGAGCCTTGCGCAGCGGCGGTCTAGGCGGCCTGTCTCCTAAACCATTAAAAAAATAATTAATTCCTTTCGGTAGAAAGCAGTTGCAGACAGGGGCCAAGTTTTTATCTTGAGGGTAAGCGATCAATATGGGTCCAAAACATCGTTTCTGGTTGCTGTCTGAAATTCAGAACAATTTTGGATTGTCACTCGGTCATTTTAGAGTAGTTTTGTATGGTTAATCGAACTCGTGACGTCATCAAAACCATAGTTAATGAGGTCAAGAATTCGTCCAAGATGGCGGACATCTCATTAATTAATTTTGGTCTAAATATTTCGAGAACTAAGCAAGATATGATTAAATTCAATTCAATTTTATTTCACTATTTACAGGATTTTTCTCAAGTAACGTAATATTACAAAAGTAGAAGAAAATAATAAAATTTTAATGAGTACTTTAAAAAAAGATTGTGAACGGCAACCAGAGGAGCCAAAGCTTTCGAGCTGGTTGTTGCAATGTTATGACAATATAAGCCGACATGGCATGTATCATGACTGTGAATTAAGTTCGTTCAATTAAACGGCCGTGAAAGATAAGATGGACCTAATTTGTGGAATGCTTTGAACATTAGACAAGATTTTTGTTTCATTCGCCTATCTTCTAGTGTCGGCCAATTTAAGTTGTTCAAAATTTGGGAGGAGCGTATTTCATAGTTGCTCCTGGTAACTATTCGAACTGATCGATTATGACAAATCGGTAATAGAGTTTAATATATAATTTTAAGAGTTCTTTTGAATGAGACAAACTAATTTTTATTGCCAATGTCCTTTAATCCAAGAGATGAATTTGATTCTAAGAGATGATGTCAGGTTTTTTTTCAGGATTTTCTCTTGGGTCCGTTTTTGCAGAGAAGATTGAGTTTAGCTGAACAGCTGGGGTGGCTGCACTCCCCCCCCCCCCTACCGGGGGGCTTACACTTGTACTCAAAAAATGTAGTTGAGATGGAATGTGTTAAAGCAGGGGCACTGAGGGATACTATAAACTGGTTAAAGATGGCGAATGCATAGTTTTTCTTGTGTTGTGAGATGAATTCCACCCATTTCTTCTTAATCGTCGGGTTTCCAACTGAAAACTAATTTCCACGCGTCACGAATTTAACTCAAACAACTTCATTTTTAATGCACTGAAACTTTGGTGAGAAGATTGAGTTTCAAAACTCAATTCCAGATTGAGTTTTTGGGGCCGTTTACCGGCCCTAAAAAATCCCTGAAAAAACCCCTGGATGTAATACTACACATACAGAAAGAGGGATCTGTTTTTGCAAAATTAAATAAAGGAAATATGTCTCACCTCCTCCAGGCAAGTTAACGTAGGCCCGGTCATCTCTCACAGATTTAGACCGCCTTGGCGGAAGTTTTGGAGCTGGATCCTCCACGAGATGACCTGAAACGATTAATTTCTTTTTATTAAATGCTTTCAATGGAACGAATATATACACAGGACTTTGAGAAGATCACCTCGTCATGCACTTATATCTGGCCTGATTTACACTGGTCATACTGCAAAAACTAACAGTTTGCCTCAAGTTCGGTCAGAAATGTAAATGCGCTCAACTCGAGTTCGACCACGCAGTAATACACCTTTAAAGAAAGCTATTTATCGCGCGGCTTTGGGTTACTCTAACTTAGAATACAGTCAAACCTCTATTAAGCGGCCACCCTCGGGGATCGGCTTTGTGGCCGCTTAATAGAGGTGGCTGCTAAAAATAGAGGTACGCAAATAATGGACCCTGAGCATAGTCAATGCTTTTGATGTGTAAAGCTATTGAGGTATAAAGTGGCATATGTTAAAACTTAATTTTTAACCCTTATTTTACAAATAAAGCAAGGTGTTGCGCCAAAGTAAATCCTGCAGGCTGGCCGCTTAATAAAGGTAAAAATTGACATAAAACATCATTTGGGACCGCTCTTTGGGTGGCCGCGGCCGCTTAATAGAGGTGACCATTTAATAGAGGGATAGTTTATAGTATTTATATAATTGTATTACAAAAATTTCGGGACTTCGATATGTGGCCGTTTAATAGAGGGTGGCCGCTTAATGGAGGGCCGCTTAATAGAGGTTCGACTGTACTAGAAAAATCATTGCAATAAAATTCACTTCCAACTTACCCAAGTTTGGACTGTTATTGTTAAAAGCATCTAAAAATAAATATATCAGAGTTTATTATATGGCGGCGCAAAAATTACCGGAGTTTTGCGTACGAGAAAACTGCAAGTTATTCGCTTTATATCCTTTATCGGCAATAAAAACACAATGAAAAAACTCCCAGCGACTGTTTACAGGTTAGCAAATACTCTTTCTATATTTAAACTGGTTAAAAATATATTTTTGAAAAAAAACGATGCCGAAAGAGCGAAGTTGAAGATAAAAACACGAACAGAAATCAGAATATAATTCTTTTGACTCAAATGCTGATTGGATTAAATGACAGTTGTGTCATTGAAATAAGGATTTTGAACTAAGTCAGACCAAAAATCTCAAAATTTACAGGGGCTTTACCCTCTTACTCCCATTAGCAACTGTGCCCCCAGACCTTGCTTCAGCTTGTTCAACGGCGCTATGCGTCTCGTCGCTCACCTCCATCACAGAATACTACGCAGAAGTCCATCTCCATTGTTTTTAGCGTAAGCTCTATTCGTCATGATTCGTAACTCAGCAAGTACCGTAAACAGAAGCAGTCACCCCCCTGGACGTGCGCCATTTTTAGTAATTCCAGGGGGGACTGCTTCTGTTTACGGTACTTGCTGAGTTACGAATCATGACGAATAGAGCTTACGCTAAAAACCATAAATTAACTGACCCCCCCCCCCGAGCAAAATTTGAAAATCTGTCTATGATTAAATAATGAAAAAAATTTTAGAACCACTGAGTATTTTAATAAAATACAAAACAAGTGAAACTCCAAAAATCGATAACATTTTTATTTATCTACGTTTCGACTGTATTTCAGTCATCATCAGGATAAGTTTATCCTGATGATGACTGAAATACAGTCGAAACGTAGATAAATAAAAATGTTATCGATTTTTGGAGTTTCACTTGTTTTGTATTTTATTAAATAATGCACAACAATTTTTCTTCACAGGAAGTTATTTGAAGGAGTTTGCTTTGGTTGTTGTTGTGTGACTCTTCTTAATCACCCTTTTACAAGAAGGAAATTAATATCTTCACTTACTTGGTTCCATATTTTCATAGGACGAAAGAAAAGATGGCGGCGTGATATTTTCGTAACTTTCGTTTGGCGACAAAGGGGGAGAAAGTGCTGAAAGCAAAAATAATATACACTTAATGTCAGCTCCCGGAGGGGAATAGTTAGTTGTGCATGAATTATTTTTGGCACTGTATCACAATAAAGTTGCACTCCTCTTTCTTAATTTTAGGTCTCTGAAACGGTACTTCCTGTATCTTGAAACTTTGCGGCGGAATACAATAGTCTTTAAAGCCGGTTTTCCACTAGGCGGAATTTTGCGCGCGGAGCGGAATTTTTCTTTGTCTTGTGATTTCTCGGGTGGAACTAATTAGAAAAGACAAAGAAAAATTCCACTCCGCGCGCTAAATTCCGCCTAGTGAAAAACAGGCTTAAGAGTGTGTTTAACAGCACAACAAAACACACTGGTACATGGTTAAAGAAAATAGCTTCTTCCCAGATAAGCTAGAGTTCTCCAACAGGAGGGGGGGGGGGGCGTTTTAGCCCCTATCCCCCCTTTGGAATGGATATCTCTTGTTACCCACAATATGCCCACCTGATCATCGTTAGAAAGAACTATTAAATGACACTTACCTACTCCTGATTCAATACGTTCGAGTCTCCTCTGCGGAGCTAAAATTATAAACAGTGCTTTTCAATCAAATTTTCATTTTATAACTTCTTGACTAGAGCATCCTTCGATACTATACTGTATCACCTTTCTCTCCAGCTTTTGAAAAACAATACGTTATTGGGGAGAGTTGATTGGATATTACCGCGCGCGTATAGCAAAACCTTTCATCAAAATTTGAACCAGTTCATCAGAGGGCAAGTTTATCAACTTTCATCCCTGGTAAAGTAAGTGCTTCAAATTTGACTTTATCATTGGACTATTTGCATTATAGACTAAATTTTTATCTGGACAAGTCTAGACAAAAATTTCATCACAGCTTGAAAGAGCATCGTAAAATTAGTAATATTCCGAAGTTTCGTTGCGAAATGTTGTAAAATGCGGATAATATAGCCTTGCGAAGTTTGCCGTTTTTCAGTCATTTTGTATTACGCACGGGAAATTGACAGCCCAATCGGGTGTTGGGCATCAATTTCCCGTTTGTAATACAAAATGACTGAAAATTGCAAATTTCGCAAGGCTATATTATCCGCATTTTACAACATTTCGCAACGAAACTTTGGAATATTACTAATTTTGTGATGCTCTTTCAAGCTGTGATGAAATTTTTGTCTAGACCAAAATTTAGTCTATAATGCAAATGGTCCATTACTGCAGGATTTTTCCCCGTGACCATGCAGGTTTATCAATTTCCCTCTGCAGTAACACTGGAGCAATAAAGGATGGTCCTAATCTAACCTCTATAGTAAGAACATTTTAGAATTGATAGAACTATCCAGTCAAAATAAAGTTCGCTTAGTTTAGGTTTTCTCCTGTAGTAACACTGGATCAATAAGAGATGATCCTTACTGGACCTCTAGGAAAAACAGTTTAGAACTGATAGAACTATCCAGTAGAAATAAAGTTAGTTTAGGTTTCCTCCTGTAGTAACACTGGATCAATAAGACATGATCTTTACTGGATCTCTAGGAAGAACAGTTTAGAACTGGTAGAACTATCTAGTGAAAATAATATTTAATAACTTACATTGCATATCCACGTAGCTATCGGGACCATCTAAAAGTAGACATTGAGTACACATTTTAACAACATTGACCCAGGTGGTATAAGCATAGTAAATCTTACCATTGAGCTCTCAAGGTGGGCAAACCAGAAAACCGATTGTTTCCGCAAGAAAAATCATACTTTGGAAAAATCTCCCGATTTTGTCGAGAACTGTCATAAATTATTTCCTTAGGCTTATTAGCTTATAGTAAACATATTCTTGCATTGAGGAAAGCCGCCTATACGTTTATAAAGATTATGCTTTTAGCTAGATTCAAATGACACCTTTATGGAATGATTGCGATAAAAAATCACCAAAGTTATTATTTCTTCTTTTATTTTCTTTTATAATAATAGAAGATTTTGTTTTTGCCAAATTTCTTCTTTTATTTTGGATTTTTATATTATTAATTTGAAATCAAGAATTTTTGAATTTGTTACTATATTAAACAAATATTTTAATAATGACAAAATAAAGTAATAAAATATTACCCTCACCAGTGGAGGTCACAGTAACGGTAGTATAGCGCCAGTAGAGATTCAAGAGAAGGAATGATTACGTAAAACTGATCAAAGTTATATTAAAAATTTAACATGATACACCTAAATGACGTGATGACGTCAAACAAAGATGTGTTTTTACCAATATCATGACGTCATCGTATATTTTTCGAATGCCAAAAATCTTCTTTTATTACTGAAAATTTTCTTTTATTAACAAAAGAAAAAAAATTTTTTCTGGAAAAATATTCTTTTATCCAAGCCTCTGTTTCACTCAACTGACCTGCGATGGACTTGTTTCTCACAGTGCGTCTCCCTATGTCTTGGTCAACGGGATTGAGATATTCACCTTCAGAAATGTACGTACCACCAGCCGCATTAGGTGGTGTCGGCAGTGGACGCTGTTGAACAGAGTCTACACGGCCTAAAAACATACACGTGAATTTCAATAAGCGTTTGGCGAGGCAGCGAGCTCCGGGCATATGTCTGGAGCAACAACTTCAGTCATTCGGCCACAGAATAGGAAGGTATAGCAGATGTGTAACTCAAGCAAGTGTTTGTCCGCGTTTTTACAAGAAATTCGTCATCAATCACGCCATCCTGGCTAGTACAACCCGGCACATTGTACCTACCAAAACCTGATAAAAACTTCCGGTTGTACTAGCCAGGATGGCGTGAGCGAGTTAAAATTTTCGTGGACGTAAAACAATAAAGGAACCGACTCAAGTTACGCTTCTGCCGTACCTTCCTATTCTGTGATACGGCCAATTGCGCAAGTAAAACCAAGATGGCGGAATAGACCTTTCCCCTCCTGAGTGAAATTTTGATCTAGACAAGCCTGGAAAAAAAATTTCATCACAGCTTGAAAGAGCATCACAAAATTAGTAATATTTCAAAGTTTCGTTGCGAAATGTTGTAAAATGCGGATAATATAGCCTTGCGAAGTTCGCCTTTTTCAGTCATTTTATATTACAAATGGGAAATTGGTAATCAGTTTGATCATCTGATTAACAATTTCCCGTTTGTAATACAAAATGACTGAAAAACGGCAAACTTCGCAGGGCTATATTATCCGCATTTTACAACATTTCGCAACGAAACTTCGGAATATTACCAATTTTGTGATGCTCTTTCAAGCTGTGATGAAATTTTTGTCCAGGCTTGTCTAGATCAAAATTTCACTCATAAGGGGAAAGGTCTGTTGACGTGCAATATAGCTATGAAGGCGGTAAACAGTTTTTATATCATTTTTCCAGCTAATTCCAGGTTTTTTCTAATGGACCGCATCGCTAATCAAATGAGTCAAGACACGAAATGTTGGCACAGACAAAAACAGTGGAGCTCTTGCAGTAACACAAGGACAATAATTAAAGTGCGACAAATATGATTTTTGGTATGTGTAATATTTGGATCATTCGAAGACGAAATGTAATATATCTTTATAATAAAAAATCCCATCTTGATCAACTTTTTCACTGTCAAAGTTACCGGATATGATGTCATTAGGTGAATTGCAAATTAGTTTTCCTTTGCTTTTTTGCACCAAAAATTCACCTAATGACATCATATCTGGACACTTTGGCAGAGAAAAGGTTGATCAAGATGAGGTTTTTTACTATAAAGATATATTACATTTCTTCTTAGAATGACCCAAATACCAAAAATTATATTCGGGGTTAGTCCATAGATATCTTATATACACTAGATAGTGCATCTAATTATTCTGCAATTGAAAAATTGAAGCCGTGATTGCAGACTCAGGATATTCCCATGAAATGAGAAGATTCGTGTGTTTTCTATTTCTTAAACAGGGAACTTAAACATTAAATTAAACCTATTCCAAATACATTTTTAAACTATTCAAATGATGAAAGTTATTGTTGTTTTTTAAGCGTTTATTAGCGAGTGGGAACTACCAACATGGCCGCCATCTATTCAAATGGGGGTATACCGCTGGAATATTCTTGGCTTCAATTTTACTAAAAGAGATGCGCTATCTAGTGTATATAAAATATCTATGGGTTAGTCGCATTTTAAGCAGGTTTGCCAGATTGCTGAATAAATAAGCCAAATATTATTATCATAACCTTTTGTTTTCTTTGTTCGAAAAAAAGGGACGTTTATATATAACAATCTTTGGCTTATTTATTCACCAATCTGGCAACCCTGATTTTAAGAGATGATCCTTACTGGACATTTAGGAAGAACTTACCATCTACATGCACATTGATATAATTACCAGGACTGCATTGTGAATCGCCTAAAAGTACAAATAAAGCACACATTTAAGCATGATATGAATGGAAACGTGACGATCTGCAATCGGATCATTGCACTGAGGTACCTTATTTAGAATGTTTACTGCATGTATTCTGTGACTGGAATGTTAGGGTTTGTAATCCAAGTGATTATATACATTTTAAGACCTAACCAGGAACGACTGCGAAAAATGCAGCACAAGGTCCTCTGGTAGGAATTGAACCTACGGCCCTGCGATTCCGGTGCAGTGCTAACTAACTAACTGAGCTACAGAGGCCAGCTGTTAAGCTGTAACCGTAAGTTCATGTATATATAGGTAATCGGATGTGCGGGTTGTGATAAGGTGGACTTCAATGATGGATTCTTGCACTTCACTTGGTGGAATTAATGTTAGAATGTTAGGGTTTGTAATCCAAGTGAGAATATATATATATATATATACAGAATATATACAGAATATATACCGGAATCGCAGGGCCGTAGGTTCAATTCCTACCAGAGGACCTTGTGCTGCATTTTTCGCAGTCGTTCCTGGTTAGGTCTTAAAATGTATATATTCTCACTTGGATTACAAACCCTAACATTCTAACATTAATTCCACCAAGTGAAGTGCAAGAATCCATCATCCCTCTATTCTGTGACTGTATCTGCGCTGTACAATGTTGATACATTTATATGTATAAAACTTTTTTCTAACTTGGTCATTTCCCAAACCTTCTTGGCAATTTTCAGATCTCTTCGTGTTAAGGTAGTTGACTTTAGTTAGAAAGGACTGCAGTATATAGGTGTCTAATTTATATTTACTAACTTTGGAAAGTGTCGCTCGTTCTCCCTCTATCACATATACTCACCAGGTATTTCCGGAAGTGCGCGATGTTTAAAAGTTGACGTCGACGCTCGGTCTAGAAAACGTAGGAAAATAGTCTGATTTAAACAAAAAATGGACGATTATTGGGGTTCCCACACGAATTTGGAGAGGAGGCTTTTTGGTGAGGAGGCCGTTCCTTTATATAGAAAGGGTTGACCGGAGTCCATCTCCTTGTATTTTTCAGGTAGTTGTATCCCTATAAATTCGAAGATTTCTTATTATCGGCGCAACCTACACGAGAACAAACCGTTGAAGGTTCACAAGGGCTATATCATAGATATCTTGTATGCACTAGATAGTGCATCTAATTATTCTGCAATTCAAAAATTGAAGCCGTGATTGCATACTCAGGTCGTTCCCATGAAATGAGAAGATTCGTATGTTTTCTATTTCTTAAACAGGGAACTTAAACATTAAGTTAACCCTATTCCAAATACGTTTTTAAATTATTCAAATAATGAAAGTTATTGTTGTTTTACTTGTTTTTAAGCGTTTATTAGCGAGTGGGAACGACCAACATGGCCGACATCTATTCAAATGGGGGTAATCGCTGGAATATTCTTGGCTTCAATTTTACTAAAAGAGATGCGCTATCTAGTGTATATCAAATATCTATGGGATATATACCTACCCAAGCCTGGCAGACGGTTTTTACGGGCAGCGAAAATTAAGGTTTGCCTCCCTAATTTTCGCTGCCCGTAAAAAACCCCGCCTGCCACGCAGGCTATACTTCCCTCATAGATATAGGAGACCTACGACTTACCCATGACTTGTGGAAACGCGCGATGATCATACAATGATTTTGAGCGAGCTATATATATAAAACCAGAAGGAAAAATGTTCACTGAGAGTATATTATCAACAAAATCAAAAATGAACTAAATCACTGGCAAGAATACCTTAAACAAAATGTTCGACTATATTCGGATAGGCTACTCGCATGGGTTTGCGAAAACTTATTGGTTGAAATGACCAAAAAAAAATTGGTCACCTAGGTCACAGAATAAAGACATACAGAAGTGTATCTTCTTATTAAAAGTGCGTAAGGGATTTTTTCAGTCCGCCATGTTCTTAGCAAGTGCCCTAAAGAGAGGCAGTCACCCCCCTGAAAACATATTGAAAATTTAATATTCCAGGGGGGTGAATGCCTCTCTTTAGGGCACTTGCTAAGAACATGGCCGCCAGCTATTTCGGTAAAAAGCGCCTTACGGTTTTGTAATGGAAGTTACACTTCTGTATGTCTTTATTCTGTGCCTGGGTGCATCTGAGAAAAGCATGCAGTTAAAAATGATCGTTTTAACCAATAAAATTAACCATTTTGTTAATTAGTCAAAACAATCAAAATATATGCAAATCTTATTCCCTGGTAGGCTAAACGACTAAAACTTTTTAAAATTTCAACCCGTGGCTACACGCGTAAAAACCTCACAACTTGTCAACAAGATGTGTTCGAACAGGCTTGTAGCAATCTTGTCAACAAGTTGTAACATTAGGGCCATTTATACGTGACAAAATAAGTCGCGACTTACATAAGACGCGACTTAAATAAGTGGAGTTATCGCATAAATGGTTCTCTACGGCTTTGGTCTTATTTATTTGCTATAGCTATAATGTTGTTTTGGTTGTTTTTGTTTTAATATGCAAGGCATTAAATTTTACGTTGTTTCAAGTTTCTGGCATGTGTAGTTAGACTTTTTGTCCAAAATTTCTTATTTAAGACGCGACTTAAATAAGAACAGCTAAAAGACCTGTTCTTATGCAAGACGCGTCTTATCCAAGACGCGTCTTACATAAGAATTTTGTACCTTTTATACGACAAACTCGCGTCTTACCTAAGTCGCGTCTTATGGAAGTCGCGTCTTATTTTGTTCCGAATAAATGACCCTAATGCTGACATACTGTTATTTTATCAAGTTGCTACAAGGTTGCCACTCACAACTTGTTGACAAATTGTTGAATTACAGGATCAGACTTGTTAGAACAACCTTGTAAGCTTGACAAGTGGCATTATCAGACTTGTTACAAGGTTGTTCTGTATATAACAAGTCTGACACAGTCATAATATAACAAGAATGTTACAAGGTTGACGACACAAGGTTATAACAATATTGTTATACCATGACTGTATCGGACTTGTTGGAGCAACCTTGCAACAAGTCTGATAATATCAACAAGGTTGTTACAAGTTGTTAACAGCTTGTTCCAAACTTGTTGACAACTTGGGACAAGCAGTGCGAAGACAACTTGTTGACAGGTTGTTGTTGGCAGACTTGCTACAAGATATGAGATTTTTATGCGTGTAGTGCAACGTCCATTCAACAGTTACTGCGCAGTATTAATATGTGCATCAAAGCCCCGTTTACACTTGCAATTTTTGCTGCGAATTTCTTCTTCTTCTGACGGATGTGAACGAGTGGATAAGTGATGAATGTTCAGACGAAGTAACATATACTCAGAACATTCATTATTCCTCTACTCGTTCACATCCATCAGAAGTAGAAAATCGCACTAGAAATCGGTTCGAAATTTGCAAGTGTAAACGGGCCTTAAGTGCGTCTCTATTCCTATAAAGTACGTCTCTATTCGTATAAAGTGCGTCTCTACTCGTATAAAGTGCGTCTGTACTCGTATAAAGTGCGTCTCTATTCGTATAAAGGCATCTCTACTCGTATAAAGTGCGTCTCTAGCTATTCGTATAAAGTGCGTCTCTCTACCAATATAAAGTGCGTCTCTACTCGTATAAAGTGCGTCTCTCTACTTATATACAGTGCGTCTCTACTCGTATAAAGTGCGTTTCTCTACTTATATAAAGTGCGTCTCTACTCGTATAAAGTGCGTCTCTCTACTCATATAAAGTGCGTCTCTACTCGTATAAAGTGCGTTTCTCTACTTAGATAAAGTGCGTCTCTACTCGTATAAAGTGCGTCTCTCTACTTATATAAAGTGCGCCTCTACTCGTATAAAGTGCGTCTCTCTACTCATATAAAGTGCGTCTCTACTCGTATAAAGTGCGTCTCTACTCATATAAAGTGCGCCTACCAGTGCAGTGTGCAAGAAGTGCGAGTGCGGGAAACAAACTTACCCTTCGTAGGAAAGAAAGTCGAAACAGGTTGTGGTGGCAATGAACCTGAACGCGCTATAAAATGCAACGCATGCAATGAATGGTCAAATGGTGAGAGTTTTCTAGCCCGTCTGGCGTATTGTCACTAAGATTAAGATTCAAGATTTCATAGACGGACTTTCTGGTGTGTGTGTGTTGGGGGGGAGGGGGGGGGGCGCACCCCACGTAAATATTTTGCACCCCACAGAAAGATTCCCCACCCCACAGAAAGATTCCCCACCCCACCTAGAAAAATTTGCACCCCCAGAAATTTAAATTGCATGGAACAAATGACAGTAATGTAATTGAAACAAGGATTAATTAAAAACAAGGATTTTGAACTAAATACGACTAAAAACAAGAATTTTGAATTAAATAAGACAAGATCTATGTTGCAGCTTGTTCGGCGCTGCTATGCACCCCGTTGCTCAACTCCCTCCCCCATTAGGTTCTCTGAAAGGAATGGAACCTACGATTCTAGTGGAGCGCTCTGACCACGTACTGTCTGAGCTACAGAGTCTTATGTAGCTTTCAACCTCTTGGTTTATCTCTATACTGACCTTTTTTTTGAACTATAGTTTCATCAAACTGTACGAAACCTGATCCTAGAAAACGAAAACAATTACAACTGATACAAATAATCTGTACCAAAGCGTATCTCAAAGCGTCATGTACCCCATCAGATTCTCGGAAATCACATTTTCGTTTTGTATAAAAGTCTGCATAAAAGCACCGCTATTTTTCGCAATGTCTGGCTGGCTACTTTCACTACTTTCACTAGCCGAAAATGGTAACAATTTCCGCACGTAATACAAACATATACAAAATTTGGAAAAGTTGCAACGCGTCAGGCTATATTTTCCAAGCTTTACAACATTTCGCAACCAAATTATGCAATTTTACTAATTTCATTGCGTTCCTTTTAGCTGTGATGTTTGATTCCCTTCTCTTTACTTAGATTACAATTTAGTCTAACATGCAAGTTATCCATTACACTTACCACCCATGTCTTCATATGAATATGCACCATCTGAAATAAAAATTCATATACTATTTTATTTTTTTTTGCGGTCGGAAGTCATATTTTACGCTTTTCTGCAATCTGACTGGCCACGTGGGCGGTCCGTATGAGCCCGTACGGACCGCGCGAGATTTAAAGCCGTAGAGCCAATGTTTTTACTTTTAAAAATTTAAAGACGAGTTTAAAGGCTACTTTTTAAAACATTAAAATGTCTGCAAGCGATGAAGAACACAGTGAAAGTGAATCTTACTATCCCACAGAAGATATTACTCTTCCTATACCATTGACAGAAACGACGTTTTATTTGACAGCTTCATTCGCGTGCGGGAGGGGAGGTTGTGGAAATCCAGAGGAGGAATTAAAAAAAATAAAAATATTATTTTAATTACCGGTATGGTCGGTCCGTATAGGGAAATATTTCCCTCGGCCTTCGGCCTCGGGCGTAAAAAAAAATACCTGCGGTTCCGGTTCCCGACCGACCCTATTTTTTTCTGCCGACTCTATTATTTTTTCAACATAATTGACCGTGCGACCTTATTTTCTCCGGGTGGTTGGGGGCTGCTGCCAAAATGGCGTCTGTTGTCACACTAATTATTGAAAAAACCATGAAAAAATATTTTAAAAAAACCCAACTTATTTCCGACCTACCGACCCTAATATTTTGCGATATGAAACCGGAACCACAAGTATTTTTTTTACGCCTCGGGCCGTTTTTTCGACCTCGAGAAATATTTCTCTATACGGACCTCCAATCCGGTAAATAAATGTTCGATGACTTTGAGTTTGAGTCGGATACAAGGCCGGATTTTGTTGGAAATAGTGAAGGAGGTTGAAAAAAAATAGTTAGGGAAGGTGCAACGGTCTAGCTCACGACCCCCATGGAAAGTTAGAACGGGCCAAAGTCAACGACGTAACTTTGCATGTGGTGTACTGCAATATATGTATCCACTCACTGTATCCTATGTATTAATGAATTAATATATTACTGTATAACATTACAATTAGGCAAAAAAAAAATATGTGGGTTTCCGGTTTCTTCTTATAAAAACTTAGGTAGGGTAGGTCGGTTTTAACTTTTTTCTTTAACTTTTTTTTTTAGTTTTCCGAACAAGCGGACGCCATTTTGTTTAGTCAGTGCTTCCACATCCAAAGATAAATTTCCCTAATATTGCCTCAAATTTCAATTTTCCACAAACTTTTTCCTCTAAGTGGAAACACTTACAAGCATGATCCAATAAAAAAGTTTAGGGTCGGGATTTTGACGTCCAAAAGCTAGGTAGGGTCGGGAAACCGGAAACCCACATATTTTTCTTTTTGGCCTTAATACAAAGTTTCTTTCAAAACATTGCGTTAACATTGCATGTGTATATTACTTTACACAGAGATGACTATACTGTTTCATTTTACAGAAAACTTTCTTACGAAGTAAAAAGTGCCGTTAATTAAACCGTTAAAACGGCAACTTTAATGAATTGAAAGACACGAACGAAATCAATTTACAAAATGTCCAATTCTTAATGCCAAACAATTCCAGAAAATATCAACTATAAGCAAGAACAATTTAATGACTTTCAAGCACTTCTTTATAAACTCAAAGACTTTCAACGCCTTGAATTTTTGTTTCCAAATTCAAGGACTGTTTTTAAGTTTTTGTTTACCCTGCACCCCCCCCCCCCC